GTCAGCCACCCATGGCTGAGGAAAGGCAGGTCATCAAAGCCATATGAAAAAGGGGAGGCGAGGGCTTGCACTGCTCTGATTTAACTGTAATGTTTGTCCACTCCTACCCCAGTTTAAGTGGGGGAAGGTACTGGAACTGTTAGACCAATATGGGCATGGACAGATGGAACAGTTATATCGGTGCACCTTATACCAGTATAATGTATTGCTGGTCTACCTGCTCCTTCTGTCCGTACCCACAATTTTTTTCCCCCAAGCTGCATGCAGTACAAGTTCAAGTACAGGGCCAAGGACACTCGGCATCTGACAGCAACTGGCCTTATCACTGCTCGTCTCCTATGACAGGACCACTGGCATTGAATTTAATCTCATCCAGAGGCTGACATAGGATGGCTGGAGGAGTGTAGAAAGCAATGGCTCTCTCCATTCTACTGCAACTTGAATTCTGTCTGCAAATTTTTATGACACAGGCATCCCTCCCCTTTGTGTATGATTTTACATGCAAATGAATAACTGAAACTCTAGCTTTAATGAACTCTAAAATCTAATCTCGTCATAAATAGGAAGCAAATCATACTTCAACTCCAGCTTTGGAGTATCTTCAGATATAACTTGTAAGGTTACATTCAGTGGGCACATCTACACTTCCATATTCACTTTGCAGTAATCAAAATTACTGCACAGTACTGGTGCATGTCTACACATGCATACCTGTACTGTGCAGTAAATATAGTGACTTATGCCAACTTGAGAGTAAATTACCATTTGATACCATCTTGCAGGTATCAAATTTACGCCCGACTGGTTACAGCACAGTAATGCCCATATAGACGCTTTACTGTGCAGTGTGTGGACTGACTTGGGACTAACTTTCATCCCAAGTCAGTCCACACACAGCACTAATGTACTGTAATGTCTGCACATCTAGACACCAACCTATTCCCGTTTACTGTGCAATAATTTTAAGACTGCATAAATGCACGTGCAGACACACCCTGTTTGTATTATACTACAAACACAAGATACTTTCAAATGAAATCATAGGCAGTCACAGCACAAGATAGCAGCCTCAGGGGAAATTAAGCTACTGGAACCAGGTCAAGGCATCTTCGATTTCTATCCCGGTAGGAGCTTAAGATTTCAGTAGACTCTGGAAACTCCAACCTTGCAAACTTAAAAGCAGCAGCCTTCAACTGCTCAGGTAGTATGAGTGCAGAATGAATTTGGCTACTGCACCAGGATTATCACCGCAACTCATGCAACTAGTGGATAGAGTTGACCTATTATTTCTTGTCAGTCAAAAGATTCTTTGGCAGGTGTAAAAGGACATTGCTTGGATTACTTCAATTTGAGGACACAATTGAGATCAAGAAAAAGTTAATCTGCGTGTTCCAAGCAAAAAACAAAGCAGATGAAGATATCCTGTTGGAGAGGCTCTGGAAGACTCAGTGACCTCCTCCACACTGATGTTCACAGTGACAGATACTCTGCTAACCCCGTCTATCTGCCCAGAAGAAAGCTGTTGTAGTGTATGAGGTGACATTTTCCTGCTTTGGATGAGTTTGTAATGAGCTTAGAACTCACCTGCCTGCATTTGGTATAAAATGGGGTTGAAAGTTATTTACTGATGAAGGGTAACAATATAATTCATCTTCGAGTCACTGACCTTATTTGTATTGCCACGTGCATGATGTCCACCAAATAAATACACCACTTGGTCAACACACACAGCACAACTTCCAGACATGGAAGGCGGAACATCCCCCTCTGTTTTACTTTTCTTCCTAGAAAGACAGTTTTAAAACACAATCATACAATAAACAGAAACTGGATTAGTATTTTGTTGACAGGAAAAGCATTTAGTCTGGCAGTCTGAGTTAAAAGCTGAGCACAGGTGTGCATGAGAGACATGCAGGGCTGGTTATCAATCATCCCTGTCCCCTTACAATATTTGAAACATGCTAATTAGCGAATCAACCATTTATTTTACTTTATTTGGGGAAGGAGTGCTCTGTGCCTGATGCAGAGGCCCAAGGACTCCTTCACCTCCAGGAAGAAATGGGGAAATTCTCAAGCAGAGAGGACTTTGCCTCTCCACCCAGAAAATAAATACATCTTAGTAAAAGGAAGATTTTCACTTCACCCTGCTTCCACTTCTACTAAATATATTCATAAAAACATACTTCTGTGCCCAGGGCTTCAAGTGGCCACGAGGGCAGCAACTGCACAGACAGATGAGACACTACAGGTAGTCAATGATGCTTGCTGAGGAGTCAAGGGTGCTCAACACCTTGCAGGTTGAGTTGTATAGGGAGATCAGACAGCATCTGCTCCACCCAACAACAGGTAGGCAGCTTTTGCAGAACTTCCAGTTTTTTGTTAGTTAGGACTCTTGCCTCCTAGACTCCAGCTGAAGAGGTACTTTGGACTTAAAATATATATACTGTTACAAAACTACAAAAAGCAGGCTATTTAAATACAAGTTATTTCAACATTTACTGTTACACAAAATACAAATATATTGGGAGGAGAGAACCTACAAATTATATTCTTAAATATGGGGTCTCAAACATTTCAGTGACAGCCATACCTTACGGAAGGTCTTATTAAACATCTATTCTATGAGGCTCTTACAATAAACCTTGTAACAATCATAGTCATTTGCTTAATTCTATTTTTCCCCCACATAAGAAGTTTCACACGTTTACAGTTTTGTGGTGGGTTTTGCAGCTAGAGACTGTTCTGCTAGAGCTGTTCTACACCAGCAGCCAGTTCCTGACAGGTCACAAGCAACTCTTGCATGAATGGTCTCTGTGGCTTAAAGATCCAACTTGAAATGTCCACTTTTGCTCTCTTAAATTAGTGCTTGTATTTTGAAAGCTATTTATGTACTGTACCATCTTCCAGTCTCCATGTTGTAGATCCATATTTCATCTTTAGGCAGATAAAAGTCATAAAAGCCCCTCACTTGAGCATTCTGCAGGGATAAGATGAAAAGAAAAGGTTACCATTAGAGAAAAGCTTGACATTTAAAACCGAGTAAGTTCAAGAGTTTTAGGTGCCCCAAAACCAACCTAGTTGTAGTGGTTATGGAAGAAAGTAGGATGAGGGGTCAGTAAGGGTAGTGTGTGCTGCAGTCCTTCAATTCCTGCTTGTTTAGCAGCCCTCAGGAAGCCGATACAAAACAAAACTATTTAAGCAGCCTCAGGACCATGCTAGCTCGAGCTGGGAATCAGGCCATCCAATAAGTGACTACACAAACAGGCAAGTGTTAATAGGGGAGGAAAAAATCACTTCCTCAGCTGTAAAAAAAGGCACTAGAGTAGCAGTGCTCAAGCTTTTGCTGGCACAGGCCAGAAGAGTGGCTCCAGGCTGGGCTGTGGGCCAGACAGGACACTAGGAGCAGGTACAGGCCCAAAGCTACAGGTTCAGGGCCCACACCTCTTCCAGCTGACCCGTATGCCTGGATCAGGCCCAAGGCAACTTCCAGGTGACGGTCTGGCATGCACAGGACTCCCCATGGGTCCAGAAATTTGGCAGCAGGGCAGCAGCAATTGCTGCTACTGTTCCCCAGCTGCCAAACTGCTGAGCCCTTGGGGACGCCAGAGGGCTGGATGACATGGTCCCATGCACTGGATCTGACCCACAGGCTGGGGTTGAGCAACCAGCACTAGAGCCTTACTTCAGGACATTTAAAGGTAAATTTAATTTGCTGGAGTTTATCCTACCTCTTGCCTTTGAGTAAAAAATCATGCACACACAAGATTAGCAATCTATTCAGGAAATGCAAGTTCTAATGCATCTAGAACAGGGGTTGTCAACTGGGGGTATGCATACCCCCAGGGTACTCATGAAGGCCTAGGGGGTACGGGCAGGCAGGCGGGGATGGAGAACCGCCAGCCACCACCCCGTGCCGCCAGCAGGGGCAGGATGAGGGCAGTGGCATCCTTCTGTAAGCTGCACAGGTGCCACCCAGCCACTTGGACCTGGGGAAGGGAGAGGCGGAAGTCTGCACGCAGCGGCAGCTGCCACCACCATCCACCAGCCCACGCTGCTGCCGCTCCGCATCCAGCTACGTGCCATCCCACCCCGCTCTGCATCTGCCCACCAGGAGTACACTTATTAAAAAAAAAGGTTGGAAGTCCCTGATCTAAAGTAAAGGTGCGCTGACAAACCACGCAGACAGTTCTGTGTACCAACACACACATCTGACTTCAGTCCACTAGCAATATTTCCTTCTCTCCCAGAACTTAAACCAGGCAAGAAAACACAAACAAACAGAAAAACTGCTTCCTACAAGAAACCACTTACAAATGTAAAGTAAATTATTCTCTAGGTTAACAAGGGCTTCACATCATTTTTCATAGTTAGTAGGGTCGGAAGGGACCTGAGCAGATCATCAAGTCCCACCCCCTGCCACGGCAGGAAAGAATACTGGGGTCAAACGACCCCAGCAAGGTGATTGTCTAGCCTTGTCTTAAAGACCCCCAGGGTAGGAGCCAGCACCACTTCTCTTGGAAGTTGGTTCCAGATCCTAGCCGCCCTGACAGTGAAGTAGCGCTTCCTGATGTCTAGCCTGAATCTACCCTCTGCCAGCTTGTGACTGTTATTTCTAGTCACTCCTGGTAGTGCTCAGTGGAACAGAGACTCCCCCAATGCCTGCTCGTCCCCTCTGACTAGTCTGTAACAGGCCACTAGATCCCCCCTCAGCCTTCTCTTGTGAAGGCTGAACAGGTTCAGGTCCCATCGCCTCTCCTCATACGGCCTGCCCTGCTGCCCCCTGA